ACATTTTTGTCCCTTCTTTCACGCCACTGTTACCGGAAAAATTCCTCCCGCCCTCCCCCTCTTTTTTTCCCCCCCCCCCCCCCCACAAGAAAAGGTGTGAAACAATATACAAGTGATTACATATTAACTGTATGCTTATGCCAGGTGTTTCAAATAACAAAGGATGTTTATTAAGAGTCTCTGTTCTTGATCACCATGATAATGGTCCTTGCATGAACGAGTAGGTCCTTACCAATAGTCAACAGAAATTAATGAAAATCCTTCCCAACAGACATATTAAACCCTGATGTGAATCAGAAGTATTCCATTTAGATTCAATCCGTTTAATCTACGCTGAATGTACCCATGGAACGATTAGAACTTTTTCTTCGATCTTTTTCTTCCTACTTTATCGACGTCGATACTTTTACTTGTTTCTGTATTGATCTAGCACGCGTGTTGGCGACGACCGGAAATACTTCTGCGGTCACAGGCTATACGCTTGTATAACTACATAAAAATTCAAGGGCCTCGATTCCACAGAAATTACACCATCGCCAAAGATAAAAAAAGTGATTTATATGGCACGTCATTTCAATCATCGCCGAAAATAAACCGCATCCTCATCACAGATCCATTTGCATACAATGAAAGTTCACAACACCCGACCATCGGAGTTTTGCTAATTAAGATTCTTTTTTTTTCCGACCACTCATTAGTGTTCACTTGTTCCAAAGTAATCAACGCTTTCAAGCGAAAGAATTCATGGACCGACACGTTTCCGAAAAGGTCTAAATTTAATCGTTCCTAAGTTTTCTTCGCAAAACATGCGTGGCTTCCGTGGCTTCGATCACGCAACGATTCTTAGTCCCAGTTTCCACGGTCTCCGCAAAGAACGCCTGGCACAATGACCCCCTGTTTGTGAACAAATAGAACGAAAACGTCTGGGGGGTACTTCCAGAAAAATTGAGTGGGGGTGTGCGGCACGCTTCCTGAAACCCTTACCCTATTTCAGACCAAAATCTCTGATTTTCCCTACCCTATTTCAGACCTGAAGCCCTGGAGCCCGGCGCCTGACCGGAGCGCGTGACAAGCTGTTACTGCACGTACACGGTTGGTGTAAACATTAAAAGGGAAATGGTCTTATCGCCAAATGATGAAGTTAAAAGTAGCTTCTTCTAAGACACATACCCAATTCAAGACTAGAGTGCACAAACCATACCCTATTTCAGACCAAAATGGTCGAAATTATTACCCTATTTCAGACCAAAACGGCTAAAAAAACCATACTCTTTGGCGCCGCACATACCAATATAGCCTATAGCCCCGGGCGAAAATCGCGTTGCCGATAATGAGTCTCGCTGCTTACGCAAGTGAGGCTAAAAAAACGTTGACAGGTATTAATGAGGTATTGTTTCGCCGTAAAAAAAACTCAAGACTTTTACAACAATTAAGAATCCAAACAATAAGAATAAACTAATCAAAGATTCTTCACATATTCCTAACATTGTCAATGAACAGTTTGCGTCTGTTGGGAGTAAACTCGCAAGTAAGATTCCTTCTTCCCAACAACATTTTCTCGACTTTGTTAACATAAATATGTCTCCAATGCCATCTTTCTTTTTTCAACCAATAACATATGATTGTGTAAAGACTGGAATATTATCTTTAGCTAATGACAAATCACACGGTTTATATTCCTCTCCGACAAAGTTACTAAAATGCTCGATTGACATCATAGCCCCTGTTCTTTTCGGAACTATTTTATATTTCTATCAGCTCAGCCAAGGGAGATATCCTAAAAAATTGAAACTGTCCAAAATTGTGCCTGTTTTTAAATCCGATGATGAGACGGACCCAAATAATTATAGAACTACATCTTTATTGTCAAACTTCAACAAAATATTTGAAAGGCTTATGTATATATAAAAGAATGGTAAATTACAATGAGAAACACAATTTTATTTACTTTTTCCAGTACGGCTTTCGGGAAGGACATTCTACTCAACATGCTATATAAGACATCATTAATGCAATCCACGCCAATATAAATCAAGGTCTATACTCTTGTGGTGTGTTTATTGACCTCAAAAAGGGTTTTGATACCGTTAAACATTATATTCTGCTAGACGAGCTCAACGTTTACGAATTTCGTGCATTAATCAACCAATAGTTTTCTTCATATCTCAATAGCCGCTCCCAAACTACTCAAATTTCTGATCACATATCAAATAAAGCCACAATCAGCTCTGGAGTTCCTCAAGGTTCCGTTTTAGGTTCTCTTCTCTTTTTACTGGATGTTAAAGATACCCACCGTGCTCTACTAAACATATCTCTTTGCTGATGATACCCAAATACTTTTTGCTAAGAAAAATTTGAAAAATATTGTAACAGTAGTCAATACTGAATTGTGCAAACTCTACGACTGCTTAACACCTAATAAGCTAACCCTCATTAGTAAATCCAACTTTGTAATCTTTCATCCTAAACAAAACTAAAATATCTTCATTTGACAACGAGAAAAATGAATATTCTACTCTTGAATCCAAGGAATAATTAAAATATCTTGGCATTTTGATTGACAAAAACATCACCTGGAAACATCATATTGAATACTGTCTCTTTAAAAATCAGTAAAACGGTTGGCTCGGCGCGCTTGCAAAATTGAGTCATTTTGTACCCCGGCAAATTCTTCCGTTTATCAGTCACTTATATGCCCGTATATTACATATTATTAAAAACTGAATCATTGGATAATGCAATTCTAGCATTTTGATTGGCTTAGCCGTTATGGTATATGAGCTATTATACCATGCTCTCCATATATGGTTGGTGTACGCGTCAGTTTAAAATTGGAAGCTAGCTGAGATTTTTTTTCGCGAAGGATAGAACGGCGCCCGAAGCAAATCGTTTTAATTCATTTCTTAGAATACTAGAAATGCTATTTCATCGAAGGAAAAGAGACAAAAACAAACAAAAAAGCCACAAGAGCTTGTTTGAAAGTTTGTCGAAAAACACATGAAAACACATGGAACTAAAGTACCTTGACCAGCTACGAAAGAAGACAAGTGTTGTTTCTTCATGATCGCGAAGCCATTCGCCGATCGAGTCACTCGCCGATAGATAACTGCAGCTTGTTTATCCGACATCAAGAATATAAATCACAAGTAACCAGCTACAAATACAGCTGGCTATGCAGCCATTCACTAGAGCAATGGAGGCGGTAGTATAGCTTCTTTTCTCGTTCAGCAAAACCATCTTAACTTGTGGCTTCAAACAACTTCATAACAAGCGACCGAGGTAACAGTTTTTCTCCGTTGTTCTTACTTTTATAACTGCACCGAAAATCCAAATTCACAGTAATTTCGACGGCTGTCACTTAAAAATTCTTTTCCTTCACATTATCTGCCAGGTTTTTTAGCTGTTCTGCTGTGTAAAATCCTAGAATCCCGATGAGTTTTTAAAAAACTAATGTTCATTGCTACAATGTTTTGATTTTTCATTCATGCAGTCCAGGCGAGTCCGTTCGCGCGTTGACAGTTTTGATAGACGTGTGACATGTGAATAGCGGAAGTCCCTTGTCTTTTCCGGTTTGTTCTAGTCGCGTCGGGGCGATTCAACGAGATTTTGTGGGCGTTTTTAATAAAACAATTATTCCACTCGAGCTTGTTGGATATGAAATGATTATAGCCAACTCGGCACTACGCGCCTCGTTGGCTATCTATCATCTCATATCCAACGCGCCCTCGTGGAATAATTGTTAATTATAACATAACAAAAGTAAATCGCGCGCTCTGATTGGTCAGTTAGCCACTA